ACAGAGCTGGGCGACTCTTTTGACCTACAGGCTCCAGGGGAGCTCTCCATCTGTCCAAATGTTAGCCTGGAACTAAACGCCTCCACACAGTGATGAAATCCCTAACAAATGTTGTGACAACGCTGAACATAAGGCCTTAATTTTTTTCAAATTGCTTGCATTTACAGTTAATTCAATTTGAATGATAAGTCACCTCCATGGGAATGACTCAGGCGCTTGTTTTTACGTGCTTTGTTTTCCAAAATGCGCAAAACGGAAAGGCATTGGTGTGCAAAGTATGCACAGTCAAGGTAATACTGCACTGGTTCCAAGGCAAGAGAGTTATCTACATCTGGTGTTTCGGCTCTGGAGTTATCAAAGAAAACAGAAATATCGTTATAAAACACATTTGGCTCACTGTACACAGTGGTTATTGGAGGGGATAAATTCAATTTCGTACCTCAAATAAAAAATATTATTTTTTTCCTGTTACAGGACATTTGCTTTCTACTAGCTGAAAAATCCTGCCCAAGTTCAGACCTTTTGGAACAGGCAGGGACAGATAGGCTAGGTTGTGTCTCGGTCAGGATAGAATTAAGGAAATGGTTTCAACAGCAAATAATTTTCACACTGTAAGAAAGACTAGAGAGGAACAGTCAGGAAATGTCCAGACAACAGCCATATAAACAGATAATTGTTGAAATATTTGGATAATTTTAAGAATAAATGCAGGGTAAATTTTTGGACAGTTAAGTCAGTTTTCCATAATAACTCTGTCTCCTAGCCAGTAATTTCCCTGTTCTTCTTAATTTATTTCACTTCTTTTAGTTGGCAAATTCCTGTGTTCCATCCCTGGAATAAATCAGCTCTACAGCTACCAGGTTCTCCTGCAAGCCTCTTGTCTTAACTCCTGCCGTTCTGCACCCAACTGGGGTTTGCCACCCTGCCAGGGAGCACTGGAGCCCAGCAGAGCTTCGTCTGTGATGTCTTTGCCCAGAAGGCCCCCATGGCCTTCCAGCAACCTAACAGTTCATTTAAATTTGGATCAGTGTCCAGAGTAACTTTAGAGTTATGCAATGGCAATTCTTAGAGCTCCTATGAAGGGGCCTGGAGCTGGGAGAAGGCAAAACACACCCGTGTCCCAGCCATCTCTGCTAGGGAGCTCAGGGCTAAAGCCGTCATCACAGCCAAGGCTCGCACGCCTGCTCCCTGCTCGAGAAAGGCAGTGGGTCATCTGAGGTACCTTTGGTATTTGGCCCTTCTCCTCTCCCCGCCCCTCTCGTAACTAAAGTGGGACAACACTGGCTTCTGCATCTGAAAGCTCTTGTTTAGTGGCCTGGCCCAATGGAAAATTGCGTGTTTTTAACTTAGGAGCACAGCAAGTTGGTGCCTGGACAGTTTGAAGTGGATGCTTTAGAAGCAGTAGATAATAACCAGGAAGTAAGATGGACCTCTCGTCCATGTCCCTCATTCCTTTGCTGTTTGGTCAGAGTCACAGATGACCCTTCCTGGCATTTGTATCCCTCTAGTGATGAGTATTCTACTTAATCCTGCTGAGGCTGAAGGAGTAAGGGGTTTCATCAAAGACAACTGCCGAGTGCCCCACACAGAGATAAAGATGCCATCCCAGGCAGCGTTTCCTCTGCATGTGTGGTGACATCAGACGGAGAGCTAGGTCAGAAACTGTGGAGGTGTGCGAAGCATAAACAGAGGCAGCTCCAGCTTGGGAGAGGCTCACACAGTACTCAGAGGGGCCAGGAATTTAGTGATCCAAACTCTATTTGGTGTGTTTCTCCAAGTGCCAAGTTTATATATTAGAAAGACACAGTCTGTGCCCCAGAGGTGCTTATAATTCATGAGGAAATTGTCCAATACTCAAAAGAGAGATTAATTGTCTTAAATATGTTAGACATCTTTAATGAGTATAGCAGAACACCCGAGTGTGGGGTGTTTAGAGGATTGTTAAGGAAGTGAATGAAGGCCTGGATCTGGAGTAGTTAGTTTGCAACGTGGTGGTTCCAGGGTTAGTGAACATGACAGAGAAACTAACAGGAGAGATAGAATTCAAAGTAAGGTGAGCAGCTAGTACAAAAGCCAGAAGGATGACCGGGTAAAATTCTCAGAGGTTGACTGGCTTGAGAGAGGGGGATGGAGAGACAGCTCAGCAGGCAGAGACGCTCACCTTGCAAGCCTGGTGACTTGAGTTCAATCCCTGGAACCCATGTAAAGAGGAGAAAACAGACTCCACAAGTTTGTCCTCTGATCCCACAGGTGTTAATCTTGCGTGAACGGTTTGCCAGAGTGCATAGGACTTTTGGAGCATTTGGACATTGTAATGCATTGGGTGTGGGATGCAGCCATTTCCTTTGATGGCCCAAGAGTAGCCAGGCACTAAGTCTGAGTAGAACAGTGCTCCAGAGTGAAGCAGATGTTTGTGTTGTAAGTTATTCTGTGGCTTTTGTTTTTTCTCTTCCCCTTCCCCCTTTTCCTTCCTCTCTCCTTCCTTCTTTTCCTCTTCTATTTCTTTCAGCAGAGACTACAGTGGTGGCATGCAGTTAGTTATAAAGTCTTTCCTGGAAACAGAGAGGAACAGCACAGGCTTTTTTTTTTTTTTGACAATGCATGTCTGCAATATCCAAGTTTCTCTCCCTTTATCCAGTCTAGCAGTTCTCAACATGTGGGTTGCGAGTCCCAAAGAACATCAGAAAAAACAGATATTTACATTACGATTCATAACAGTTGCAAAATTGCAGTTATGAAGTAGCAATGAAAGTGGTTTTATGGTTGTGGGTCACCAGAACGTGAGGAACTGTATTAAAGAGTTGCAGCATTAGGAAGGTTGAGAACCACTGATCTAGTCCTTCAGCAAATGGTGCTGGGCTATGCACAAAGATAGAGGAATCAAACACACAAAAAACTTAGCAGGATTCAGCCTGTGGAGGAGCTCAGAGTTGGATGATGGATGTTCATACTCCACTTCCAGAGAGAAGACCTGAGCTTTGAAAGAGTGAAGAAGAAACTGAAGGGAAAGATGGAGGTACCAAGCAGAGACACTCAGGTGCCCATCAAGGCAAGGTTTGGTCCTTCCTCCTAGAGTTGCCTTCTTCAGCAACATCATACACCACTGTGGTGACCTGAAACTTCCCCAGTGATGCCTGGCCCTGCCCCCTCTCGGAATTAGTGGAATGCATCTGCTTGTGGGCTGGAGATTAGAGCCCAGGGCTGGGACTCCTAGGAAAGCTGTCTTTTTGGGTGGCCTCACAAGACATGGTTCAGACTCTAAGCTAATACTTCTAAACTTCCTTCTCTGATAATCTATATTTTTCTGTTTTTAGAACTACAATGTCAGCGATGTCTCAGAAGATTCATCCCTTTAAAACTAGCAGCAATAGCTCTTGTTTGGAAATTAAGCAACAGAAAGGAATTTGAGCAGGCAAGCTAAGAGGAAACCTTGTATATTCAAATATATCCATGGTTATGCTACCAAATTCAACCAAGTCAGTTTTAAGCATGGCTAAAAACTATATTTTAATGAATATCTCACCATATTTTCCCCTTAAACATTTTGAGTTTTAAATGTGCTCACACCTCCTTGCTATGTCTTCCAGTGCTATGCTATCCAGTAGATATTTTGTAGAGTTATTGATCCACTTTGGGTATTTTTCACTTTATGAGGAGTGTTTATTTATCCTCAATTCACTTTGTTCCAAAAAGATCTTGAGTACGTCTTATAAAACTGAAGTTTAGAGATGGATAAATATTTTGAGAAGATGAAAATGGAAAACTTTAAAGATGAACAAATGTGCATAATTTAAAAGTATTCTTGATGCTGGAATGTGTCGCATCCAAATTGTGCTGTTTTGGCACAGTTGCCTACTGTGGTCCTCCTCCGGGATGTCTGCTGTTTGTTTATACAATGGAACTGGAGTGACCATAATGGGATGTTTTGCCCCAACCTGTAGACCCCAGTCTCCATCCATGAGACCAGAAGTGACTAGTAGGCAATGCTCAGTTTCTTTACTAAATTAAGGATTTATTTTTCCTCCCTAAGCAAGTGAAAAATGCTCATTATCCGTAGTTCAGAAAACATATAAAAAATTTAAAATTTTCACAGCTTAGCACCTGGAGAAAAACTCTTAAAGTCTAAATATTTTTTCCTAAAACTTTTTATCTATTTCCATTATATTAAAATAGTTTTAGCTTAAAATTATTATCTATACTCATCCTGGTGTAATGAATAATTTTTTTGCAATCATCATCATATCTACCAAATACACAAGTCGGAATTTGCTTAACTATTTCCTTATTGCTAGACATCTAACAATGAGGCTACTAGTTACTGTTTTTATTATTGTTGAGAGTTTTTGTATGCGTTGTTCAGCTTTTTGGAACCATGACTCAGACCTCTCTATTACAGATTATCTCTCTTACAGGGTAGTCAAAGTGGTATGTATAAATAGGTGTTTATTAAATATGGCTCATTTTCCTTATGAAACTGTAACATTCTTTAATTTCTACAATACTGGGCTTTGAAAAGCTGCTTTTGAGTCCTCCTCTTTTTCAAACTAAACACTGAATGTGTTGGGGTTGGGGTTCTGAGAATGAAGAACCTGTAGACCCCAGTCTCCACCCATGAGACAGAGGTGCCTAGTAGGCAATATTGACTTTCTTTATGAAATAAAGGATTTATTTTTCCTTTTTCAAGCAAGTAGCTAATGCTCATTTTCCATAGCTCAGAAAACATATAAGTGAAGCATGCCCTCTGCTGCTGAGTTACCCCCCCACAGCCCTGAAAGCTACGTTTTTTGGATTTATTGGGCAGTTGTCTCAAGTCACTGAGTACTAGCCTCCTTCTTCAAGTTTTTAAGAAACTTCAAATATACCCTGAAGGATGCAATCATGACCACAATGTGCACATGGGGGGCAGAGGACAACTTTGGGGAGTTGGCTCTTTTGTTCCACCGTGGGTTCCAGGGATTGAACTCAGGCTGTCTCGTTTCCCTGCAAGCCTCTTTACTCACCACGCCTCCTCCCTGGTGTCCGCGATGGTTGTTTTTGGTGATAAGGTCTCGATGTGTACCACAGCCCGAGGATATCTTGAAGCTCACTGTTTAGGCCAGACTGGCCTCCGCTCACAACGCAGCCGCGTGCTATGATTGCCAGTATACGTCACAATGCCCCGCCTTATTGAAATGTTTTAACGTAAATCACATAACGATTTATCTACAGGTATCATTTATCTCTGAAAGATTGGCTTCAAAAATACAAATAAAACCCCACACACAATCATCTGAAAGCATGAACAGTCATTTATTAATGCCCATTAATTTCAATGCGCCCTCATCTTTCCTCACCTACTTTTTTATAGTTGGTTTATCTTTTACGTCTCTTTTCATGTGTGACAGTTCATTGGGAGAGTTTTCTCCAGTAAGTGCCTTGATTCTCACCTGTAATCTACTGAAGCTGAGTCAATGTGGATGTGGTCACATGATCTACAGTTTAACATGCTCTATCGGGAATTCTGATGAGCAAAAACAGCTTGGGAATTTCTACAGAGAGGAACAAATCTTGTGGTGGCTCAGGTATCTGTAATTCTAGGACTCAAGAGACAGAGACACCAGGATTTTGAGTTTCAGGTCAGCTTGTGCTGTGGTGTAAGACCCAGTCACAAACGAAAACAAACAGGCAAATTTATTATTTTTATTTTTTCATTTTTTGATATTTTCTATTTTTTCCTTCCTTTTTTATTTAAGTTAGAAACAAGCTTGCTTCACATGTCAATCCCAGCTCCCTCTCCCTCCCTCTCCCTCCCTTCCTTTCCTGCTCCCCACCTAGGCCCCCCCACCCAATCTCCACTCCTGATACCCAGGGAGGGTGAGGCCCTCCATGGTGGATCTCCAGAGTTTGTCATTTCATCCAGGGCAGGGCCTAGGCCTTCCCCCAAGAGTCCAGGCTGAGAGACCATCCCTCATTGTGGGATGGACACCCAAAGTCTGTTTGTATGCCAATTATAAATACTACCCAAGGTCTCATAGATTACCTAGGCCTCCTCACTGACACCCACATTCAGGGGGTCTGGGTCCGTCCCATGCTTTCCACACAGCCATCAGTCTGGGGTCCAAGAGCTCCCCTTTGTTCAGGTCAACTGTTTCTGTGGGTTAAACCAGTGCAGTCTTAACCCCTTTGCTCATCAGTTCTCCCTTTCTGACACTGGATTCTAGGAGTTCAGTTCAGTGTTTAGCTGTGGGTGTCTGCCTCTGTTTCCATCAGTCACTTGATGAAGGTTCTCAAACAGGCAAATTTAAAACATCTTTTGGAATGATTTTGTTTTTAGTCAATGAATAAACTTTCCTAAATGTGATTATCTCTAGTTGTCTAATGAGGCTTTGTACACGTGCGAACCTTTGTCCGTGGGGTTTTCGCGGGGTCTTCCCCTTCTCTTGCTGATGGCTGAGGTGAGGGCCTCTCTGCAGCTTGACTTCCTCATCCTTGCCCGCAGGCGATCTTACTGCTTTCTGGTGTGCATTGTCTGTTCCAGTCCTGGACCTGTTGTGTCACATTTGTGACTCTGCAAAACCTTTGACTGATTACAGAAGATAATTGTTATAGAAAACTAGAAATATATGGAAAAGAAGAAAAAAAAGCATCTATAACGTAACTGTTTTCCCCGTATTTCATTCCTTTTCTATGGCAATAATACATTTTCTCAAAGACCAATTTTAAAATCTTATGAATTTTGTGACTTTTAAAAGATAATATGCTGTAATAAAAAAATGAATAAATGCTTTAAAAACCACTTGATATCACATATATATATACACATATATATGTAGTCTCATTTTGGGTATGGACACACTTAAACTTTTTTCTATGCTATAAAAATCCCTGCAGATATTGTTTTACATATCCATAGCTATTTCCTTGCTATATCTTTATGGCCCTGAGCTAATGTACTTCGTATTTTTAAAGCTTTTGGTTCAGCCTCTTTACCTTCAGCACCACACCAGCCTCTTTCTTGACTGCAGGAAAGACCATTCGCTTCCCCAATGCTCTGTCTACACTGTGGTCTCTTTCTGTGGTAAACTACTGACGTGCTCCTTCCCTTCTTGAATTAGTTGCTTTTAGCAGTGTTCCTTATGTATGCTTTGGAGGGCTATCATAACTGGTGATTTCTTGTTTGTTCGTTTTGCCTCATGTTAGGGAAGTACCTTTGGAGGGCTATCATGCTGTCTGTAGTTCATTTAGAACCCTGGGCTCTCGTGAGAGGGATTCAAGTGCTCAGAATCATGTGGCTGCCTGTTGAGGTGTGTGTGTATATAATATACATACATACATACATACATACATACATACATACTCACACACCTCAATGGGTATGCATACACACATACACACACATAATACTTTTAGATCATGCATTATGGAAGAGGTAGTAAAATATCCCAATCCTAGAAATAGCTGCATTTCACCAGAAGGTTTCGCAATAAATTCTAAATAAATTTGTCAATCATCTTTAGGATCTGTAGGGTCTGAGTTTGCACAAATAAAAGTTGTAGATTTGGGTTGTTCTTCATCTCTTTCTGCACGAGTAGTGATACTGAGAACAGACAGGGTTCTGTGCGAGCTCTGGTACTGCCCTGGGAATGTTTGAAATGTGAGTTGCACTTGACACAGAACCATAGCTGTGCCTCCGGTTTCTCATGGGGGTCTCCTGACTGCCTGGATGCAGCCTTATCTGCCAGAGAGGAGTTGATGGGCTCTCATCCCAGAGAGACTAAGCAAAGAATAATAATGCAAAAGCAAAGGACGGAGCTGAGATTTGGGTAGAAAATAGAGTGCTGGAGTATTTGAACAGTTTTAGGCATGAGAAATGCATGGCTTGGAGTAGATTCCTTATTGCCTTTAAATAACTCAGAGCAACAGGAGGAGGGCCAGAGAGGAGCAGATCCCTGCTTAATTTCCATCTGGTCCAGGGCAGGCTCGACCTTAGAGTTGTGGTACTCAACCTGTGGGTTGCAACCCCTTCGACTCAAATGACACTTTCTTTTATAGGAGTCACCTGAGAGCATCCTGCATATTAGGTATTTACATTATGATTCATAACAGTAGCAATACTACAGTGATGAAGTGGCAATGAAAATAATTTCATGGCTGAGGACCTGTATTAAAGGGTCACAGCATTAGGAAGGTTGAGAACCCCGCCTTAGGCTCTGCCCGCTAGGCTGGATGGATGCTCTTCCCATGGAGGGTGAGCTGCATGTGCATTGCGTTTTGCTGTGACTACTCTGTACCAGAAGAGCCACACCAGAAATCTCTGTTTATGTAACCACACAGGAAGAGCCAATCTGGTGATTTTCTAAATACTTATTTCAGTGTAGATGGCCAGCAGGATAACTCAGACTCCAATGGAAATGATTTCAAGTTGTTCACTTAGCCACTGACACTGGCACAATGAATGTGGCCAAGTTTCAGTTTACTCTTGTGCTGTTTAGACACACTTCGCATGGTGCTTCGTTTTAAAAGACCTCCAACTATTTTTATTGAACAGACACAGGATGTTTGGTTCTCAAGGCTACAGCAAAAATTTCATTGCTCCACGGATAACTGCACTGATCCAAATTTGCTCTTTTAAAACTGCAGTCAAGCTTGGTGCTGGCATTCGGCGGAGGGATGCTGGTCTGCTACATGCAGAAACTTATGGTTAAGACCAGGAATACCTGGAAAGTTGGACCATTCTGTCACTTGTTAATTTATTTGCCCGTGTAAGTTGCTTTTCTTTAGAGGACTCAGCCATGGCCTGTGGAAAGCACGGTCTTCAAACTGCATTTTTCCTCTGTATAAGATAAAGATACACTATAGAGTTTTCTAAAAGGGAGAGCACAGAATGAATAAAAACAGGTTCACGATGGTGCTACTAGGTTTGGGAAAATATTCTCCATTTGTGTTTTGTGTACCCTAAAACTTTGATGCCAGACGGTCTCTCTGGGAACTGGGTGTGGCTGACTTAAAAAAATTAATACTGAATGCTGTTCAAAACCTCCCAGTACCCAGTGGTAGCTACATTAACACACACACACACACACACACACACACACACACACATACATACACACACACACACACACACACACACACACACACACACACTCCACATAGGATAGGATTCAGTAGGATTCAGGGACTCTCCAACCATGGGTACCTTTTCCATAGCTAACTCAGTTGGGCTCCTAGTACATTTTAAGTCTTGGTGACTTGCAGGCTATTTGTTTTGTTGCCTCATTTAAATTGCGATGTCATAAATCACTCCATTTTTTAATCATTTGAGTAGCAAACACCCCAAAGCACTAAAGTTAAACAATGTTAATGGGGATTTACTTTGGGTGCCATTGTTTTCATATGACAAATGGCCATGCATCAAGCTGCATAGCACAGTTTATTTATGCAGACGTAATTAAGCCTTTGAAATGAAATATACAGTGAACCAGTTGCCAGAAATGCAAAGTTGGCTTGACATGGCCCCTCCTCCCGCTTCCTCCTGTGGACTTGATCAGTTTAAGGCAGATTGCAAGCTAGGTGAATACTCTTGGTTTGTAGGAAAAAAAGTTACCCAATTCTTAGAATAATTTTTTTGTCTCTTTTGTGATTTTTGTGGGATAGATTTGAAGACTTTCTCTGGACTCAACTAGTTATGAAAATGATCTTTTGCTAGCTCAGTGGTTCTCAGCCTTCGTAATGCTTTGACCCGTTAATACAATTTCTTGTGTTGTGGTGACCCTTGTGAAAGAGTTCTTTGACTATAAAGGGGTCTTGATCCACAGATTGAGAACCACTGTGCTGGCTACTGCCTCTGCATGCCTAAACTCAGGTGTAGTTTAATTATTTTGGGTGTGCACCTGTGTGTGTGTATGCGCGCATACATGTATATAGGCCAGAGGAAAATCTCAGTGTTATTTCTCAGGTGTTAGCCATCATTGTTTCCCTTTTACTGAAAGTAGATATTTTTCATCCAATATATTCTGATTCCAGTTTCCCCTTGCTTTACTCCTTTCAGCCCCTCCGCATCTCCCCTCCCATCTGGATCCATTCCATTTTTGTCTCTCATTAGAAAACAAGCAG